ATTTCGGAAAACTCCACATTTTAGGTCACAAAAATTAAAATCAACATAGTCAATACCATCTCACATAATTACTACAATTCAACATAAACAACATGATTCAACTCAACATCATTAAATATAATTCAACATAATTCAAGAGGAATTCTTAAATCCCATTTCCACATTCCATAGCCGAGTTTATGTCATTTATATCATTAACAAATCATTTCCCCCAATTTCCTTTCTCATTATAACATGATTTACATTGCTCATAACAAAGTTAATTCGCAAATTTTAAACATAATTTCTAAACATAACCAAATTCCAATTAAACTTGTACATATATAATTCAACCTACCAATTTCATGATTCAACTCTCAATTTGGACTAAATCATTGATTATCATCAAAAATCAACCTAGGGTTTCAAGAAAAAATCTAGAAATTTCAAGAACAATCCAAATTTCTTAACCCATTACTTTTTGTTCCAATCTTCCCATTTATTATACACCCTAGGTCCATCATCCATAAACCATAATCTAAACCCAATAATAGAACCCCTACCTCAAGAATCAAACAAGGGAGCAAGCTTGATGAGATTCCTCCAAAATTTCAAAATTCAATCGGTAGAAGATGTTGATCTTCTCTTGTTCTCCATCCTTGATGCAAGAACCATGGTGGATTGTTGATAAAAGTGGAGGAAATCAAGGTTTTGGGGGCTAGGGTTTCGGACATAGAGGAGGGGAGGAGAAGAGAGGAAATTAAAATGTAAGAAATGGTTCAAAAATCACGTTTTTGAGCTGCTGTCCCGCACAGTCCCTCACGTGCGGCCCTGCTTCCAGCACAAATGTGAAAACTTCAAACGGGTATAACTCTCTTATCCGGACTTCATTTTAAATCGTTCTTGTGTCCAAATTGAAGCCCCGGAAATAAGCTTTCTAATGGTTCTAGCCTCACATCTAAATTCAAAGTGTGGAAAAAGAAAAAGGAAAAAGAGTGACGGCTGATCGTAGGCGAAGTGTTCGAATTAAAGTTTTTGGTCCAATCTTACTTTACCATCATGTTACCACCTCAACCGATGCCCCAAAATAAAACTAAGGAGGTTCCAAACATACTAATAAAATGCCACAAACGAATCTACGTGCCTCAAAAATTCAAACTCAACCAAGCGACCCGCTCGAGCGGAAGGAAAATTTCTAGATCGTCACAGTCTTGGTGCCTCATTTTGCCCCTCCTAGGTCCTGGTCCAGACTGGGATATGGTCTTATGCACTAAAATAAAGTGCTTTTAGTAAAGTGAAAACATTGTCATGATTGCAGTTATTACCTGTAAAATAGAGTCTACTGCGTGCTCCTTTCTCTAGTTGAGCATTTCTGCCCACATATGGACTGTCTTATCAAGGTCAAACTTCATTGCCTTTAAAAATTTGCAAAAATGCATGTTACTTGTAACAACGCAATAAAAGAATAGAATAGGAAAAAGAAGTTTCTAACATAAGATAATCTATCAAATTTCACAATTCAAGCTGCTTGAGATAAGCTTTTTTGAACAATTAAGCCTAGTCAAAAACACAATCCATAATCTTTTTATCTATTACTCATTGGAACAATTAATTTCCATATTTATTTGTATGTAGATAATAAGTTCCTTTTACAGTCGCATCTTTCACTCTTATTTCCTGCTTAAAGCCCCTAATCTTGTAACTGGAATAGTACAAAAGATTCACAAACTTAACTCCTAAAAATCAGGTAGAACTATTAAACTTTGCAATCCCTGGTTCCACAAAGCAGATTTTGAACTCTACTAGTACTACTCTATTCCAAATAAATGTCTAAACAAAATAAATAACTACTGATCACTCAATAGATTGACAAATATATACTACCACCGTCCCGTTTTTTCTAAAGTCAAGTGCAAGAGATTAATGCATAAAATACTTGAAATTATTTATCAAAGTTTTCTTATGGTGACAGTCGAGTTAGACATGAAATCAAAGTTTGATTATGCCCACTTACATATAGTTTATTTATCAATCATAACAATAAGATTATATACAACATCTCATATTTAACAAACTCAAGAAGCAAAACTGAAGGGAAAAAAATGAGACAACATGTAACCTCGAACACCAAACTTAGAGAAGAGTTTACCCCTTAATTGCAGTATAAGTCTTGTTTCTAAATAAGACTTATCAATTAAACTAAAAATTGATAGAATTTTAAGAAAAATCAAAGGGAAAATTGATGTATTAGAACATAGGAGATTAAATTGACACAGAGGAACAAATTACAAGAACTAGAGTATATATCAAACTTGTGTTTTATCTATTTATTAATTTAATTTTCTTACCCAAATACAAAATCTACAGGAATCACATGCATGATCATGACAGTGTTGTGAAAAAATCACATCAGAATTTTTTCAAATGAACAAGTATAGAACCCTCAAATCAGTCTTAGCATAGCCACTAAGCATCGTTGGATTCACTCAGGTTTTTCAATATCAGAGAAGGAAAACAACAGGGAACAGAATACTGAAACAGAGAAGCCTTGCAATATAAACTTAGAGATGATAAGTACACAATAACTCAAGTAAATTCATGAGGAAGCAATCACTCAAATTCAACATCATATCATCACAGATTGAATTTCAGGATTTGACAACTATAAATTCATATTCAAATTCAAATCAAATGAACACATGGATTCAAATTCAAATGTCTCACAACAAATTTATAATTAAATATGAACTTCAAGATCAGAGAGAGAATTTACCGCCTGAAATCGCAAGGGGCAAGTCAGGCGAGAGGAGGGTTGATCCAAGATTGTAAACCCTAGAAGAAAAATCAACATAATGAAGATCTTGAGAGAGAGAGAGAGAGAGAGAGAGAGAGAACTTCAACATCGAAATTGAGATTGTAGACAATAGTGCTAACCTTAGTAGACGATGCAGGTGGTGGTGGTGGTGGTGGTGGAGCTTCGAATCAAGAGAGAGAGAGAGAGAGAGAGAGAGAGAGAGCTTCGAAATCGAAATCACCTAGCTGAAGAAGGTTGAATTGTATCTTCCAAATCGAAATTGAAATCGATTCTGCTCTACGAAATCGAAATCACTCTGAGATTGGATCACCGAACTCCGAAATCGAAATCACCTTAAGTGTTTAGAGCGAGCGAGCGAGATTCACTTTAAGGTTGAATCGTAATCTCTGAAGGGTTTAGGGAGAGCGAGCGAGTGAGATTCATACATTTGTGTTTCTCAGATTTGAGTGAATGAGAGTGAGCATAAGGGTTTTTTAGATTTAGAATGAGGGTTTGAAGAGGAAGAGAGCGCGTGAGAGGGGGATAACATTTGAAGGCGTTTTTAAACGTCTTCTATCAGTTAAACGGTACCGTTTTATTTAAACCAAAATGCGACGGTTATAAAACGTCGTTAAATATTAAAAAACGTAACGTTTAAAAAAGTGCCATTAAATCACACATTTCCTGCAGTGAGTAAAATATGATGGCATAAAAGAATAAGTCTTCTATCTCAGATTTAACCACTCAAATTTTTCTTAGTGGTTGTATGGTGGGGATGAAATTTATGGAGTGTGTGGTCCATAGATAGAATAAATTTGAATAATAAGATCATAATTTCTAGGTTGACAAGTCTAGGTTTGCAGTGTTACTAGGCATAAAAATAAATGCTATGAAATCTCGTAAGCATGATATCATGTTGTCATCAACGATAAAAGATCAAAGTTAATAGGGGAAATGTCCCGGTGTACATTGTAACCCTATATAAAATTATGTAAATTTTTACGAATTTACATAAGTGATCACACAAAAATACTTAAGTTAAACACAAATTTGCGTAAGCTCAAAAACTGATGTAATTATGCGAATTTGTGTTAAACTTATGCATTTTTATTAAATCATTTATGTAACTTGGTGAGAAACTGTGTAATAGTACCATCACGGTCAATTAACTAGTTGTTGGCAATAGATATTTGCTGGTGATTAGGAAAATGCGAAGTATAAGTAACTACTGAATAGGGTTTCTTGGGGCTAGTTCATATAAGACGTTTGTTCTGACTTTAAACGTGATTTCCACAAGTGGACGGTGGGATTGATCTCTAGAAATTAGTCAAAGTGCAAACACCCGATTATCAAAAAAAAGAAATGTAACTACTAACATTTGTTGAATGGTGAAAAATAAGATGATGTTTGTATATATGGCTTAACAATAAATATTGCTTTTCCTTATAGATGCATTTCAAAAGCATACAACAACGATTTTTAAAAGTTGCTAAATTTTAATTTTTTTTGTGGTGAAACTAGAGGTGGGAAGTATGTTGCATTGCTGAATATGTGGGCTCATGTTGTATCGTTTGCGATTCGGGTAAAATCTTCTTAATTCTAACCCTACTAATTTATTTTTTTGTGTTATATATCTTGTTGTGTTTAGTTTGGAGTCATATCATGTTAATGTGTCATGTCAATTTTCATTCTTAGTTAAAATATGAAGTCTATTGAATCATTAATTTTTTTCCCCCCTACAAGTTAAATTTCATGAAATAATTCATAAAAGTATTTATTTTGAACTTAATTCTGTTTTTTTTTTTTTAATTTCAAAAACTAAAACTATATTATTTAGAGAATTTATGTGCAGGTCTCGATAGATAAACTTATTACTCAATAATTAGTGACATTTTTTTATAAAAGCATCGCTAATTATCACAGCACTTATTGGACAATAAGTCTCCCTTATATCAAAAAAATTGTTGTCAGAGTAAAAATCAGCATAGACTAGAGAACATAAGCAAGTGAAAGAAATACACAACAAACATGATTTATTGAAGGGAAGAAACATGTATGCTTTTTCTCTATACATCAAACATGCGGAATGCTCAAAAAATCAAAACTGCATATCTAAAAATCAATGATTGAAAATCCAAACATTAGACTGCCATAGAAGGCAAGAAACATGTATGATTTTATATATACCACAAACTTGTGGAGTGCTTATCGGTAATGTATTATGTATGTGAAGCATTCTTATTGCTGACAAAAATATCAATACAATAATGCCAAGGACAAAATTTTAACACAGAAAAATACCTAAGAAAACAATTAATGTGTGATATAGATTAAACTCTTGTATGATGAAGCCCATATTTAAAATTAATTTGGACAAAACATCAACAAGAACTTATTTCTTCTTCGTTGAAGGAACTAGACGGATCCTAGATGCATCAAGGGCCTACTTTATCAATTCATAACAATGAGAAAGATTTATATGGCACTTAGAAAGGAAGTAGGACTGGGAGGAATCGGAATGTCTACAGTCCCCTCTAGCATTAATAAAACTTTCTTCATTGAAGGACGGAGCGATGGCTCATCTTGAATGCACCAAAGGCCTACTTTAACCATTCTTTCAAGTTTTCTCATGTCCACATCTTCATTACCCACCAGCTTACCAAGTTCCTTGGTCTGAAAGCAATCATAAACCCATTCTTCAAGGACAGCTTCTTCCTCGCTAAAGCTCAACTCCAAACACTTTCGACAACATATGATCTCCAACAGCAAAACTCCGAAACTGTAAACATCTACTTTGACTGTTACTGGCAATTTTCGGTGCCACTCAGGTGCAACATAACCCCTTGTTCCTCTAATCATTGTAAAAGTTTTTGTTTGGTTCGGTTTCAAAAGCTTTGCCAAGCCAAAGTCACAGATTTTGGCGCACCCGTGCCCATCAATCAGTATATTTTGTGGCTTTATATCACTGTGGATGATCTGTGGCTCGCACTCTTCATGCAAGTAGAGTAAGCCTCTGGCAATGTGCAGAGCAATTCCAATCCTTTCATCCCAATCTGGCCGATTTTCATTTTCGGGTGTGAAAAGAAAATCTGCAAGGGATCCGTTACTCATGTACTCGTATACCAGAAGCCTGTTAGGTCCTTCGAGGCAATAACCAATCAGTCGAACTAGGTTCCGATGATGGGTTCTCCCAATTACTCTTATCTCTGTTTGAAATTCGTGTTCACCCTCTGTCAACACTTTCTCTAACCTCTTCACAGCTACATCCTTTTGGTTGTCCGATATGAATCCTTTAAAAACAGTCCCGAACGCTCCTCTACCCAATTCTTGGTTGAACCCATTTGTAACTTGTTCTAATTCTGCGAAGATAAAAGTTCTTAGAGCAGCTTCCACGCCCAACTCAACATTCCTTTTTGTAGAAATCTTTTTATATGCCCAAACATGGTTTCTGTACAAAAGTACACCTGAAATCGCCAACATCATCAAAGAAAAAACAAGAAGTGAAACACCGATGATTAGGAAATCTTTCTTTGGTTTCTTGGGTGGATTGTCACTATGAGTCGGAACACCTTCGGTGTTTGGTGAAATAGATTCACCCACCTTGATGAAGGCAGCGTTTGAATCATTTAGCCATCTTCTTCCGAATCTCAAAGGAAGCCTCTGCTTTTTGCACTGCTGGTCTTTGTATAGTGCAGCTTCACAGTTACAGTCTTTCAGACAGGCATCTTCACATTCTTTCCTGGAACTCAATTGTAGCACCGAATACGAATCATCTTCCCATATAGAATTTTCTAATGGGCTCATCTTGTAATATTTGGTATTGCCGTCCCCATTTGTGATTTTGCAGCTTTCTGCAGTGTAATTTCTCACGCACCCAGAAGACCAACTACTCGGATTAACGTAAGCAAATCCCGCAAGACATCTACAGTCGGCCTCTGTATTATTTGAAACACAAAACCCATTAAGCCCGCATAGACCTTTAGGATCACACTTATCCGAAGAAGAGTTCCACCAAATCGACCACTTTTCTTTGGGATCCAAGGTGTTAATAGTAGATAAATACAATACACACCCACTAGCATCACATGTTATACAATACAATACACACTGCAAAGCACACACCAGCACACACCCACTAGCATCACATGTTCGGATCACACTGTAAAGCACACACCAGCACACACCCACTAGCACACACCAGCACACAAGAAAGCTTTAGCAATAGTTTAATGTATTGTAATATACACTTTCGGTCACCTTCTCCTCTCTATAAATAGAGAGAGCTCAGTCTCTTGTATGATATATAAAACACAGAGCTAATTTGCTCTCTCAATCTCTCTCAATTTATTATATGGTATCAGAGCACAGGTTTTCTGCCTAGCCTCTTCTTCCAACATATTTTTTTTTCTGCAGATTGCATTTCATCTGTATCCCTTTTTCGTCCATCTCTGAAATACAGTTTTCACCACACCAGAGCCATCGTCTCCTCCGGACGATTCCAACGCCACCAATTTCAGCCCAATCAGACGTTAAACGCGCTCTCACGCGCCACTTCTGTGAACGGCGCGTCGCCTGCCTCCGCCTTCCGCCTCACACGCGCTCTACGCGTCCTCCACACTGTCCCGTGCTAACGTGCACCGCGCACTATCTTGCTAACGTGCGCCGCGCCCTTTCTTGCTAACGTGCGCCGCGCCCTTTCTTGCTAACGTGCGCCGCGCCCTTTCTTGCTAACGTGCGCCGCGCCCTTTCTTGCTAACGTGCGCCGCGCCCTTTCTTGCTAACGTGCGCCGCGCCCTTTCTTGCTAACGTGCGCCGCGCCCTTTCTTGCTAACGTGCGCCGCGCCCTTTCTTGCTAACGTGCGCCGCGCCCTTTCTTGCTAACGTGCGCCGCGCCCTTTCTTGCTAACGTGCGCCGCGCCCTTTCTTGCTAACGTGCGCCGCGCCCTTTCTTGCTAACGTGCGCCGCGCCCTTTCTTGCTAACGTGCGCCGCGCCCTTTCTTGCTAACGTGCGCCGCGCCCTTTCTTGCTAACGTGCGCCGCGCCCTTTCTTGCTAACGTGCGCCGCGCCCTTTCTTGCTAACGTGCGCCGCGCCCTTTCTTGCTAACGTGCGCCGCGCCCTTTCTTGCTAACGTGCGCCGCGCCCTTTCTTGCTAACGTGCGCCGCGCCCTTTCTTGCTAACGTGCGCCGCGCCCTTTCTTGCTAACGTGCGCCGCGCCCTTTCTTGCTAACGTGCGCCGCGCCCTTTCTTGCTAACGTGCGCCGCGCCCTTTCTTGCTAACGTGCGCCGCGCCCTTTCTTGCTAACGTGCGCCGCGCCCTTTCTTGCTAACGTGCGCCGCGCCCTTTCTTGCTAACGTGCGCCGCGCCCTTTCTTGCTAACGTGCGCCGCGCCCTTTCTTGCTAACGTGCGCCGCGCCCTTTCTTGCTAACGTGCGCCGCGCCCTTTCTTGCTAACGTGCGCCGCGCCCTTTCTTGCTAACGTGCGCCGCGCCCTTTCTTGCTAACGTGCGCCGCGCCCTTTCTTGCTAACGTGCGCCGCGCCCTTTCTTGCTAACGTGCGCCGCGCCCTTTCTTGCTAACGTGCGCCGCGCCCTTTCTTGCTAACGTGCGCCGCGCCCTTTCTTGCTAACGTGCGCCGCGTGTTTCTGACGTCAGCACACGTCATCCCTGGTTGCTTCCATGCGCCGCTTTATCTCTCATGCTATCATGCGCCGGGCACTCCATGCTAACGTGCACCACGCTTGCTGACATCACCCCTGCTGCCTGCTGACATCAGCCCTAGTGCCCAGCTTGGTCAACCCACTTTGACTAAGCCCATTCAGCGCCTTTCTGGTCCGGTCAGTCCTATTCCCACTAATTTCGACCTTCTGAATTCACTGGTATCCTCTGTTTTTTCAGATTCTGCTTCTATCGTGTTGCTTTTACTTCATGGATATCTCGGACTCTTCTCATCACCTTATTTCCGTCATTCTTGACGGGACCAATTATGTCTTATGGGCACAAACCATGTCTGACTTCTTCAAAGGCAAGAAACTTTGGCGTATTATCACTGAGGATGTACGCAAACCCATCCAAGAGACCGCTGAATCAATTGACAAATATGTGGACAGCTTGGAGGATTGGGACAATAAGAACTATCAGATCATCACTTGGCTTCAGAATACATCTACAAAATCCATCAGCCTTCAGTTTGATCGGTTCCAACTTGACTCTGTTTCCACTCCAGCAAAGGACATTTGGGATTTTTTGAAAGACCGATATCAGACA